CGGAAGCACGGAGGAGAGACAGCAAAACAAAACGCCGGTCACAAATTAGCAGCACAAAACGAGGATTTCTAAAGAAAAATGTAGGAGGATTTCGATATAAGCCAAGAAGAGACTGGTTTTCCTTTGGTAAAGTAAGGAAACTTTGCTTCCTTTGCTCCTGTAAACAAACTTGCGAGACTAGCATATCTCACAGGCGCATGCGCGACGCATACGTCTTGTGTCATCCGCCCAGAACGGCGTGCTGGTATGACAGTCAGCAGAAGTGAGATAAAAATGTTTATAACATTTTAAATCTGGATATTTTTCTTACAAAAATGCATCGATTCGCTACTGGAGGCCTTTATTCACCCCCCGGAGCCGTGTGAGGCATGTTTTATTATGGATGCGCACGCTTTATTTGATGTCTTTTGGACTGTTGAAAAAAACACCCGCCTACTCCCATTCTAACGCTTGGAAGAGCCAGGATAATTTTTGATATAACTCAGATTTGATTCGTCTGAAAGAAGAAAGACATATACACCTAGGATGCTTTGAGGGTGAGTAAAACATGGGCTAATTTTCCTTTTTGGGTGAACTATCCCTTTAAAGAATCAAGGACTGTAATGATTATGTTAAGAATAAAAAAATGCACACTTTTGATTTATTTTTAGTGATGTTCTGGAAAACGGTGCAAATGTGTATCGCATTGTAAGACTAACGATACTCACAGTAACTGAGGATAAAAATGAAAACGGATGAGATGAGAAACATGTTTCTGTTTCTTTTGAGTTCAGACTTCTATCAGGATCTGTATGAAGGAAAGTCAGTGATGTCTTTTTGATTTCTTCCACTGAAGTTGACAAAATCTTGAGCTCCTCCCACACATACCTACATGCTTATTTTACCCTACAAGTACAGACAATATATAAATAAGCTACTATTATACAAACATTGCAGTGGCACAGGTCAGATATTTAAATGTTTCAAACATCAAACAACTATTCATATCTTTTTTAAGAAGTGGTCTGATAATATTAATGGTGAGGAGGACACTACCAATTGTACTGTACATGTGTTTGAAAACTATTCCAAAAGGTAACAATTGATTGTCCACTTTATAAAGAGTGCAGTTTTAAAAGTCTTAAATATCCTTTCTCACTCTGTTTTTGTACAGTGTAGTTGTGTTTCCTGACACTGTGGGCACCAGGGCACAGTAGTACGTGGCAGAGTCTTTCACTTCTGTAGAAGAGATCGTCAGATTCATACTTTTGGCTGCTTTATCAGCTGCAGCGGTCAGACGGAGAGCGGGCTCTGATTTGGGGATGGTCTCAAAGAACATGATGATGTGCTCAGGTTTGGTTCCGGGATACTGACGGTACCACTGCAAATTCTGCACACTTCCAGTGTAGTTGCAGATCAGTGTAGCATCTTTTCCTGCCAAAACATGCTTCTCTGTAAAGACTGGTTTTATGACATCTTCACCAGCAGTCTCTGTTTAAAACAAACAATGTTTTAATTAATAATTTCTAATCGGATTGTCAACAGTATAAAAAGCAGAAAAAAAGCATTTCCACAGTAATTGCTTTGAATCACTTACCTTTTAGGAGAGAAAAGGTAATGAATACGAGGAGCAGCATCTGTACTAATGAGAGACAATAACTTTGAGAGTCAAGACTTGTCTAGACAAGAGGACAAGACAGTTCTCTTCTAAAGTGTGACTGATTCAATGTTTGTCTGCTCTGTTTTTAAACAACTGAACTGAGACAGAACTAGGATGGATCCTGAGCTCCACCTTCTGGCAGAATGCATGCCATATCACCTTTTGCTACAATATCTCGTTGTTTAAGTGATGTGTCTTGAAATATTTGAATGTAACTTTTTTTAAGTTGTGAGGACTGTCACTGTCCAGAGAGATCCAATTGATTGTAATATTTGTTTACTGTGCAAAGAAATCAAGTAGCAAAATTCTAACAGTCAGTAAAGCAAAGTTTACAAGTATACAAAAATTAACGAGTAAATGGTACCCTAACATTTGCTAAAATGGTACAGTAGTTCTCAGAGAAAGACAACATTATAGGCCTACAGCAAAGGCAAGAAAAGTGGGAAAAGAAACACTGCATGTGTGGAAGCTCCTCCCTCCTACAATCGTGACTATACAATATTCAAGAAACAAGTTTTTGTACAGCATAGTTGGTTTTCCTGTTACTGGGCTGCAGGGCAGATTAGTACAATGCAGAGTCTGATACAGCAGCAGAGGAGATCTCCAGATCCACATGTTTATTATCATAGAGTCTGATGGACATATGTGAATGAGGTCAGTCAGCTTTGGTGACATACTTGGAAGACTCAACAATCAGCAGCAGAAACTCTGGTTTTGATCCAGGCCTCTGCCGATACCAGTGTAGACTGTAAGCTGATCCATCATATGAACAGGACAGAGTGGTGCTGTTCCTTCGGTTAAAACTACAGATGGCTGGTTTGGTCTGATAACATTCCCATTAGATTCACCTGCAAAGACATTAAAGGGTTAGTTCACCCAAAAATGAAAATTAGCCCATGTTTTACTCACCCTCAAAGCATCCTAGGGGCCCTATTTTAACGATCTAAGCACGTGGTCTAAAGCGCACAGCGCAGGTGCACTCAGGGTGTGTCCAAATCCACTTTTGCTAGTTTAATGACGGGAAAACGATCGTCACGCCCGGGCACATGGTCTAAACGGGTTGTCCCTATTCTCTTAATGAGTAATGGGTGTTTTTTGGGCGTAATGTGCAGTAAACCAATCAGAGTCTCATCTCCCATCAACTTTAAAAGCCAGTTGCATTCGCGCCATGGCGGGATGTAATTTTTAATTTTTAAAAATGTTTGTGTGCTGCTGCGCGTCCCTGTGTGTGTAATAAGCAAAGTGTACGCACGTTGTGCACCCGCCTATAGGCGCATATTACTAACGCGCCAGACTTTAGACCAGGTTTGAGTTGGTCTATGGCGCAGTCTATTTTCAGTTCCTCAAAATAGCAACGTGCCAACAATGCGCCTGAACCCACCTCTTTTTTAGACCAGCACGCCCATGGGCGCACAAATGGGCGCAAATGCATTTGCTATTTAAACAACGCGCCGCAGGATGGGAAAATGAGAACTGTGTCGGGCTAAAACTAGCAAAAACACTTGCGCCAGGTGTATGATAGGGCCCTAGGTGTATATGACTTTCTTCTTTCAGATGAATCCAATCGGAGTTATATTAAAAATTATCCTGGCTTTTCTAAGCGTTAGAATGGGAGTAGGTGGGTGTTTTTGTTCAACAGTCCAAAAGACATCAAATAAAGCGTGCACATCCATAATAAAACGTGCCTCACAGGGCTCCGGGGGGGTGAATAAATGCGTCCTATGTCATCCGCCCAGAACGGCGTGCCGGTATGACAGTCAGCGGAAGTGAGAACATTTTTTATAACATTTTAAATATGGATATTTTAATCTTACAAAAATGCATCGATTTGCTACAGGAGGCCTTTATTCACCCCTCGGAGCCGTGTGAGGCAGGTTTTATTTGATGTCTTTTGGACTGTTGAACAAAAACACCCACCTACTCCCAACTGAGGATAAAAATGAAAATGGATGAGATGAGTAACATGTTTCTATTTCTTTTGAGTTCAGACTTCTATCAGGATCTGTATGAAGGAAAGTCAGTGATGTATTTTTGATTTCTTCCACTGAAGTTGACAAAATCTTAAGCTCCTCCCACACATACCTACATGCTCATTTTACCCTACAAGTACAGACAATATATAAATAAGCTGATATTATACAAACATTGCAGTGGCACAGTACAGATATTAAATGTTTCAAACATTATTTTGCTATTCATATCTTTTTTAAGAAGTAGTCTGATAATATTAATGGTGAGGACACTACCAATTGTACTATACATGTGTTTGAAAACTATTCCGAAAAGTAGAAATTGATTGTCCACTTTATAAAGAGTGTAGTTTTAAAATCTGCATTGTGCATCATCATCTTCTGTCTTAAATATCCTTTCTCACTCTGTTTTTGTACAGTGTAGTTGTGTTTCCTGTCACTGTGGGCTGCAGGGCACAGTAGTACACGGCAGAGTCTTTCACTTCTGTAGAAGAGATCGTCAGATTCATACTTTTGGCTGCTTTATCAGCTGCAGCGGTCAGACGGAGAGCGGGCTCTGATTTGGGGATGGTCTCAAAGAACATGATGATGTGCTCCGGTTTGGATCCGGGATACTGACGATACCACTGTAAATTGTTGACAGTGCCAGTGTAGTTGCAGATCAGTGTAACATATTTTCCTTCCAAAACCTGCTTCTCTGTGAAGACTGGTTTTATGACATCTTCACCAGCGTTCTCTGTTTAAAACAAACTATGTTTTAAGTAATCATTTTAATTTCTAATGGACTATTTCAGATAGTCAACAGAAGAAAATGGAGAAAAAAAGTATTTCCTCAATAACTGTTATGAAACACTCACCTTTTAGGAGAGAAAATATAATAAATACCAGGAGCAACATCTGCACTAATGAGAGACAATGACTTTGAGGTTCAAGACTTACAGTTCTCTCCTAGAGTATAAATGACTCAATGTATGTCGGCTCTGTTAATAAACAACTGAACTGAGACTGAACTAGAATGGTTCTTGGAGCTCCACCTTCTGGCAGAATGCATGTAAGATCACTTTTGCTACAATATCTTAGCATTTTTTATGGGATGTACTGTATTTCAAACAAAAAATAAGAGCTTACCAAATAATTTTTGGCCTGGTAAAGTATACAGTAAGTTATACAATAGGAGTGAAGTGATTAATTAAAGAAGTATGTAATAAGGTACAGTAATAAAGATTGTCACTGTCCAGCAGGTCCGTGCACAGACATTTTGAGCGGCAGTGGCCCAAACCAAAAAAAGGGGCACACTAGGGGGGTGGGTGCTTGTTAAAGGGGTCATAGGATGCTTATTTTCCACAAGTTGATATGATTCTTTAGGGTCTTAATGAAAAGTCTGTAACATAGTTTGGTTAAAATTTCTCAATGGTAGTGTAAAAAACACCCTTTTTTACCCTGTAAAAAACAGCTCTTTTCAGAGCATGCAGATTTGTAGCATTTTCCTTTAAATGTTAATGAGCTCTGCTGACCACGCCCCACTCTTCCGAGCCGCTCTCAGAGAGACTGTTTACTTTAGCTGCATTCATCGTGAAACTTGCTAATTAGCACATTATTAGGAAAGACGATTTGCAAAGATTCGTTAAAAAAACTTTACACTCACTTCTTCTGTAGGTGAAGCTGGCTCACGAATGATTCACGCGAACATAGATGCATTTATGTAGATCGGTGGCGCATTCCCTTCAGAAACAAACATAATCCACTGCGTCTTCAGCGGCTCAGATGTCGGAGTAAACGACGACTGCTATGTTCATTATTACATCCAACAACAGAAGACCTCAATCACTTAGGAGTCATTCTTGTCTACATCTGCTCCAGCGCTGAAACAGTGGCGGACAGATGACAGCTCACTCAGGGCGGGTCTAAGGTAAGACACCAGTCCAGTCTGTGCTGAAACTCCACTGTCAATCAAACTATCGTGGGAGGGGCCTGTCTGTGTGACGTCACACAGACAGGCATCTGAGATCGGCTATGTTCATTATTACATCCAACAACAGAAGACCTCAATCACTTAGGAGTCATTCTTGTCTACAACTGCTCCAGCGGTGAAACAATGGAGGACAGATGACAGCTCACTCAGGGTGGGTCTAAGGTAAGATGCCAGTCTTATGTGACGTCACACAGACAGGCATCTGAGAGCGGCTCGATTTGAGAAAGGGGTAAAGATTTTAGTAGATTAATAAAAAACCACTGGGTGGATTTTTATCATTTTAGGGTGGTTGTGTACACACACTGCCAACACACATTTCAGTTCAAACAACTTGTAAAAGTGCCTGTAGCATTATATGACCCCTTTAATACAAATTTTCTAGTTGTTACAAATATACAATTATTTACATTACATTTACATTTAGTCATTTAGCAGACGCTTTTATCCAAAGCGACTTACAAATGAGGACAATGGAAGCAATCAAAATCAACAAAAGTGCAATGATACGCAATGCTATAACAAGTCTCAGTTACCTTAACGTAGTACACGTAGCAAGGTTTTTTTTTTTTAATTATATAATAAATAAAAAGAAAACAGAATAGAAAAAGAGTAGAGCAAGCTAGTGTTATAGGTCTTTTTGCTTTTGTTAATTGTATAATAAAAAGAAAACGGATAGAACACAAAATATTAGAGAAGCTAGTGTTAGTTTTTTTTTTAAAGAAAACAAGCAGTTAGTGAGTGCAAGTCTAAAAGGGGCACGTTTTTTTTTTTAAAGAATAGAATTAGAATAGAGATTGCTAGAGTTAGAGGGTCAAATAAAGATGGAAGAGATGTGTTTTTAGCCGATTCTTGAAGATGGCTACGGATTGATTGTCATTCCACCAGGAGGGAACAGTTCATGTAAAAGTCTGTGAAAGTGATTTTGTGCCTCTTGCCTCTT